GTCATTACTTACGCCATAGTATCACTGCTTCCCTAATCCTCAATCGGTGTTTACCACGAGGGCACTTCTTCCACTTCTGATATGTTGGAAGGTTTTCCAAGTAGACATAGAAATGAGACTCCAGTGACTATTATAAATTATATTATAAGATCTTTCACTATAAATCCAAACAAAACAAAACACGTCTGTTCTAGTCAAAGATGCTTTTCGTAATGGCGGCCGCCTGTCACCGTTCCGTTGATATCGATGATGATGTTATCGATTTATTTCTTATTTCGATGAAACTAATTCTTAATGACGCAAAGTAAGTTTTCTAACAAAATAAAATAATATAATGTCACGATACGCTAACACTATGACTGTACATTTTCTTCTCACTTGGAGCCAATATATCGACTGCAACTGAGACTATTGAAAATGATACTACCCTACAATGTTAAAAATAAAATAACCAATGATAACGAAATATTTAAGTATTGTAAAATTATCCCTGTTCATGAAAAATTTAAACTCCAAATTTTAAAAGAACAATACTTTCGATCTGAAATTCTACAAATTCTACAAGACAAATAACCAAAACAATATTGCAAAAGTCTAAATTTAACAACTACTATTGGTAAACGAACATCTGAATATATTGTACCACAACAAATTAATCAATTACCTAAATAAAAACGTGATCAAATCAATACTAAAAATATCAAAATCATACTCAAAAGATATTTTTCAACACACACAGATACATAATGTTCAGACACTAATTTTTTCCTAAAATTTCTATTTACGTATAGTAATAGTACATATTATTTATAAATACTACATATACTATAAAATATATACATTTAAAATTAAATTTTTTCTTTACTTAATGTGTAACATTTGTTTTTGGGGCACCTGTACACTTGTTAACAAACCGGTTTCCGGACGGTTCGCTCAGTACAGCACTAGACATAGTCGAATAATAAAATACTTTGCCGTCTTCACTGTTGTACAAATGTATGCCTCCAAATAAAGATGAAAACAATGTCTACCTACTTATAAGATTTTTTTTTATATTTTGTATTGGTTTGTTCGTAACAAGGATTGAATGGCATCGAGACAAACCCAAGTAGGGTTTAACGGTGTTTTACATTATTTATGTATACTTTTTTCTTAAAACAATAAAATAAATTAAAATAAAATTCAAAATTCATCTTCACTAAGTGCAGAATTGTTTAGGTGACAAAGGATGGGTTTATCGCCGTTGAAATTACAGATGTCTGCCTTAGTTTAATTTATTTTAACCTTAGGTGCCTTTTCCGACTTCCACGGGTCGGGTCGACTTGGAGTGGAGTATTCTTTATTAGTTTGTGCCCATGGATCTTTGTGCCGGAAAATATTTTGAGTAAGTAAAAATCTGCAAATATGTTTATATTACTCGCCTCTTGTTTTTTCCTGTTCTGTATGTTTATAGTGTAATTAAATAAAATATTTGTTAATAAGTATTTAAAACAGTGGTTGAAATATTATATTTTATACTAGTACTTGGTACTTGGTACTTGGTACTTGGTACTTGGTGCAACGGGCTGGTATCCGCAACTCGACGACAAAGCGCCTATTTTGCGCCTATTTTATACTAGTAACCTTGGCTTATAATAATAATAATAAATATTATTATAAAAGTACTTTAACTCCCAAAAACTAATTTTTAATTTCTTGCACCATTCATGTTTCTAGTATCAATTAATAGATTTTGATTAATAGATTGACTACCACATGAAAACACATTTATAAATGTATCGAATAATGCTCCACAAATATTTTATTTATTTTTATTTTATTTATTTTATTTTATTTGGTACAACAACAGACATTAGATCACAAACAATACTTATTAACAAGAAAAAACACATAACACTTTAAATCTAATATCCAATAATAGTTATACACAACTTTCCTAAATATTTATATTTTTAACAAACAGGTATAATATTCATAGGTATAATATACATACAATATATATTTATTTATATAGTTATATTTATGTATTTATATTTATATTTCAAACAAATACTATTTCAACAAATATTAAAAGCAGTGCCAAATGAACATAAACACTAATTTCTGTTACAACTTGAATACATTGCAGCTTTGAATGACATAATACTATTTGAAAATATGTCATGGCGGGAACATAAGTCATTGTATAATCGACATATTCTATATAACGGCCCATTTTGTGAAACGTTGTTCCTCGTAGGTGGCAAGCTAAACAACTGTGGAATACGCACAGACCGAGTTGGCACCCTAAATTTTAGATGTTCAATCAGCTGAGAATCCATGGTAGAGTTTACAATTCTGTGCAGAGTGCATAAGTCGGAGACCCGTCTGCGATCTTCAAGACTCATCATCTTAAACCTACACAATCGTTCAGAGTAATTGGGCAGCTTACGCCGAAGTCCGTATTTTGAACTGAGACATCTTGCAAATCTACGTTGTATAGACTCTATTCTATCAACATGGATATCATACATAGGGTACCAGATAGGCGAGCAGTATTCCAGGATACTTCTAACCAAGGCATTGTACAATATTATTAAAGAGGTGGCATTACGAAATGGCTTAGTATTACGTAGGAGAAAAGATAATAAACGATTTGCATTATTACATATATGGTCGTAATGGGGTCTAAAAGAAAGAACCGAATCAAACATGACGCCCAAGTCGCGCACAACGTTCACACGATCCAACACACCACCGCCAACACCGTAAGCATAATTTAATGGCTTCTTGTTTTTGGTGAAAGTGATAACTTGGCATTTCTTCGCATTAAGGGCCATGTAGTTATGATTACACCAATTTTCAATTGTGTCAAGATTGGACTGCAGAGTCAAACAATCATTCATATCGTAAATACGGTGAAAAATCTTAACGTCGTCTGCGTATGCCAAACATTCACATCGAATCAAACCCAAAAGATCATTAACGAAAGTTAAGAATAATAGAGGGCCGAGATTTGATCCTTGAGGCACACCAGACAGTGCAAGAAACGGAACAGACTCAAATCCACTGAGGGCTACTAGTTGAGAGCGATTCATAAGGTACGATGAGATCCAGCGATGGAGACTTCCGTGAAAACCAAGATGATCCAACTTTGACAGTAGTACCATATGATTGACACGGTCAAAAGCTTTAGAGAAATCTAAGTAAATAGCGTCAACCTGGCACTTATCATTAAATGCGTCACAAAGGTAAGTTACGTAAGAAAGTAAATTTGAACATGTCGAGCGACCAGAAATGAATCCGTGCTGATTTGGACTTAGTAAATGCTTGAAGTGGCTATAGAGGTGAGTGTACACTAGACTTTCAAATATTTTAGCAAACCAACTCAATATACAAATGGGCCTGTAATTAGTAACATCGGCTCTGTCGCCAGACTTATGAACCGGTGTAATCTTTGCAATCTTCCACAATGAGGGAAACACACCACTCGACAAGGACATATTATAGATGATTGTTAGCGGTTTGACAAGAACTGAAGCGCAGAGACAAATAAAAACTGGTGGAATACCATCAGGACCGGGACCCTTAGACAAATCGACATGCTTGAGCTGTTTCAGGACAATATCAGAAGATAGAGTAATGTTGAATGTTGACAAGTTACAGTGTGGAAATTCAGGGGTATATGTGACATTATTTTGGGCCCCATACACAGACGAGAAGTAATCGGCAAAAAGATTTACAATGTCACTACCATTCTCTGCTCTACGATCATTGTATCGCATCAGCTTGGGGTAGCTGTTAGTTACTCTCTTACCTCTAGTGTAACGCCAGAACGCCTTGATGTTCACAGACAGATCACTCTCAATACGCTCAATGTAGACTCTTAGACATTGCTCCAGTACGGCTTTTACCCTCAACCTTAACATTGAAAATGTATCGTAATCGCGGGGGTTGCCGTACCGCTTGAAGCGATTGTGGTACTTTTGCTTGTTTTTAATTAACACAATCAAACCCCTTGAAAACCAAACCGGATATCTTGTTGTTTTAGTCCTGATCCTAGGTGTGTATTTTTCAATAGTCTCATGCACAATATTATAGAACGCGTGCAGAAAGTCGTCACAGTTATGAATAGATGCCAAATGATCCCAGTCAACCATCGCTAATTCACTCATACAACCTTCTATGTCAGTTTTATAGAAGCAAAGTCTGTTACATACTGATCTGTTAATGTCTAATAAAGATGCCTGAACAACGAATGTTACCTCAAAGGAAGGATGATGTGCATCCAGACGGCTTAGGGCTGGGGTGCTGATAAGTGAGAAGAGTTCCGGGCTATTTGTGATTGCTAAGTCAAGAAGTCTTTGGTTATGATTTAATATAGTGTTAAGTTGTGTCACGTCTACAAACTGAAATAAGTCGGAAAGGGCTTTCGATTTGTCGCAATTATGCTTTATTATGTGACTCTTATCATTAGACCACACAACCTCCCCCAAATTGAAATCACCAAGAATAATTGTTTTATCGTATGGATAGGAATGTAGTATTCGTTTACAATTAGTTACAAAATCTTGATAAAGTTCTATAGGTAAATAATCCGGTAAATAAACAATGCATATATTAATAGTTAATTCTTTTTTACTATTCGTTATTTGTATCCATAAATCCTCCACCAGATCAGACTGCCAATCTGTCCTATTGATAAAATTAAGATTTTTAGAGATCGCCATCAATATCCCCCCTCCATCCTGTTTATTGAAGCGTTTAAAAAATCTATTACATCTGTCTCTGCGCACCACACAGTATCTGTCATCAAACAGCTCCGAAGAAATAATACTATTATTTAGCCACGTTTCCGCCATACACACTATATCAAAATTACTAAATAGAAATGAATTGTAATTATCATTCGTTTTGGTTTTTAATCCTCGCACATTTTGGTAATAGACAGAGATAGCCATTTCATTAATTACAATTCAATGAACCTGGTACAATGCGTAAAAACTTTAAACAATCCCACCTTAACGAATAAGTGCAAGACTTTCCTGGTTCTTGATGTGGATGTACGAAGAGTTGGGGTCCTTTCTAACGAAAATGCGTCCATTGCGTACCCATACGAACTTGTACCCAGTCTCCTTTGCTTTTTTCCTCGCAGCTGCATGAAGGGTCTTATAGAATGGGGACAAGTGCTCACAGACATAAATAGGCTTTTTCTCACCCGCTACGCCCAAATGATTCGTATTCAGTTTGTCATTAGGGTTGGCTTTGTTGTAGCGGTACACAGCTGAATAGAATTCGTCACGACTCCGGACACTCTTAAATTTAGCCACAATAGTCTTAGGCAGTTTGCTGTCCTTATTAAGTTTTGCAACTCTCACACAGCTAACTACGTCTCCATCATTTAATTTGTGCCCAGTAAATTGCGCACATTGATGCAATACGGTAGACAAATTCTCCGAACGAAATTCAGGGACACCATGCAATTCTAAATTATTCTCTCTTAAGTGCTGTTCCAGGCTATTTAATCTTCCTTCCAGATCGTGAACCGTGGTTTGCAATAGCTGGTTTGCGCCTTTTAGATGAGCATTATCCTTGATCAATGTATCAATGGAGAGTTTTAGGTCATCATGTGCTCCGCTGATGAACTCCACTGACTTACGAAGCTCCTGAACATCAGTCTTGATGGTGGAAAGCTCTTTGCTCAATACACGCGAAAAGATGGATGGCAGTTCTAACCGGATAGAGTCGAGAACACGTTCAGATATTGCTTCAACCAATTCATCACGCCCAATATCACCCGTACTGCGACCTGGCCTTCGCACGGTAATGTTGTCTGGTATAGTATTTTTTTCAGACTCAATGGCAGCAGCAGCCGTAGCATCATCGTCGTACTCCCTCAAAGAGCGCACCGGCGTATTCACATTACTCGTTTTTGGCTTCTTACTCTTGCACTCTTGACAGAGCCACTTACCTCTCTGATCCCTTGTCATCGTATTAAATTTTTGTGTGGTAATACAAGCACAGGCAAGATCATATGCCTTATTACACGAGCAACATTTAAAGTATTCATGACTCGTAATTGTGCTTAGACAGCCAGCACATGTTACCTTAGGCGCCATCTGTGGGGGAATTCAGGTACTAGTAAATGCAGTAGTGAGCTGTACTGGTGGTATCTTTAACAGCTCTTGCAGTTGATGATCCCAATAATCGTAAGACAAACGAAAAGAAAACAAAGTTTCGCTAAGTTGATGTTAGCGCAGACACGAGTCTGGGGCCCAACTACTAGAGTCCAACACCGTTGCAAACACGCCAACTGGCTCGTGATGTCATAAAAAACGTATAAAATGCAGATCACAATGTCTCAGATATTGTAGAACGTTTATAACACAGTTTTTAATACTTCAAAAAAAGTTTAAAGTTTATCGCGTTGTTAGCATTTTCTTTTGAACGAAGCACAAATTAGGTCTTCTTAAGTCTCGTTTACACTTTACGTGGAGGATCACGTGAGTTTCCAACGTTATGACAGTTTTTTCTTGAATTTTCTGACAAATTTTGTACCGGGTTCGATTCCGTGTTTTATTGTCCCTGTGAGGGTAGAAAATCAAACAAAGAAATCCGAAAATTGAAATAATTATAATAAAAAAAATACGTTATAAAATTTAAATTTTGAGACAAAAAATGGTACATAAAATTATTTTTTTAAGGGTCGTGGTAACGCGCCTTAAGACCTTTGGTTTTTTCCGCTACCGAGTACTGTACTCCCCTGTATAATTGCCGGCGCAGAAGGAAAGCCTCAGGATACTAAGCATTTGGTAGCCTTTGCAAAGGTAGCGGAAATGGTTTGTCCTAGTCCGGACGATTTTTTATTCAAATGTAAGTGTGCACTTGACCTCCATCTCACCTGATGGAAAGTGACGATGAGGTCGACGATGGAGCATCCACACCTAAATAAGGCCTATTCACTCTCGCCTTGAAAAGGACCAAGTTATAACGTTCAGGGAACAAGTGATTGGGCTGTATTTAAATCATTTGAAAAGGGCTTGGTTGCTTAAATAGCCATGTATTTATTTTCAATAAGGAAAATTATCTGCTCTCTCAAAGAAACGAAAAAAAAACTATACTAAGAAACAAAAAAGAAGGATAAAAAATAAAAGTGGCACTGGTTCAAACTATTTAAAACGGAGTCCCGAACATCCTCCCGGGGAACAAAAAAAAAGGAAAAAACAAACAAAGGTAGTAATAAATAAAGTAAAAAAAAATAAAAATAGAAGTATTCTTATGACGGCTATGCACAGCAACAGTAATTATTAATACAAAGATCGAACACTTTCATAGATTTCTCGTAGATGGCGCTACGGCTAAAAAGTCGTTGAAAACCATCAACAAGCACATAGAAAATTTCGTGAGGTCCGCTGGTTCGTTCCGTGCCTTAGTTGGCATAGCGTCGGGCACGGTTAGCTAAAAGACGTCGGTTTTAATCCGGCAGGATCAAAGGAATTATTTCTAAGTGTTCGATCTATGTATTAATAATTATAAGAAACTCGTGGAGTAATGTCACAACAATTTGATTTTATTTATTAACTTTGATTTTGATTTATATATATTTTATTGATTGAATATAAATTCAATACAAATTTAATAGGTATTTTAGTTAATCTCGTGTTGGTGCGATTTAACGCTTTTAAATAGACAGAGAAGACAAACTTCAGCACTTACAATCCTCGAACTTAGCCCATGTTGATTCTTTGGAGGCGGATGTTTGCGAACTCTGCACAGGAGGACCTGGAATTTGGTTGACGCGGGCTGAGTGAATTCCCATCGCATTATTTTTTATACTAAGTAATTAATACATGACATTCTGGTTAAAACGTTCCCAAATGAAACTTCGTTTCTTCCGCATCGATTTTATGTTTATTTGTCCGTCTGAACATAACACAAACCCAGTAGTCCACAATCAAAATTCGTCTAATATATTTACACAAACTTATAAATGTATTACATGAAACATATATATTAACTGCCTCCGTGGCCGAACGGTTACCATGCCGGACTGCCACGCAGAGGTCCCAGGTTCGATTCCCGGGCCGGGAGAAATGTTTGTATGCCTTACATTTATTTCTCTCGTGAGTTTGGGTGTAATTTGTGGTTGTCTATGTGTTTGTCCATGGCACCCGCGACACAGGGTTTCCCTAGTGCGGGGCTATGTTGAGTGTGTGTGTTATATATTTATTTATTTATTTATTTATTTATTTATTTATTTATTTATTTAT